GGGTGGTCCGGCCTATATTGAGAGTCATGAATTACGGGAGATAGGGAATCCTCCTTGTATGATCCTCCCCCCGAGCCGGCACCCTTGGGAGAGTTCCGGTCCGGCGAGGGCGATGGTGTAGGGGTTTTAGGCTTTTCGCCCGCTCCTTGACGGAGGCTTTTGCTCTTGCGGTTCTTAGCCATGGCTGCTAAGATAATTGCAAGATGATCTTGGTTAGGAATTTGGCTTAAAGATTTTTGAAAGTCTTCCCCACAGACGGCGCCAAATTGTTTCGGGTGAAAACAATGGGACCTTGCCGAAGGTCCGCTGAGATGGAGAAGACTGGATTCGGTCCAAGTTATGTTGGGCCGAAGGTTTCCTGCACAGTAAACACACGTAAACTAGCCTCGGGGGTGTTGCCGAGAAAGGCCCCTCCGATGCTAAAGTCAGTACAATGTGTAAGAAGAAGACACTATGCAAGAGAGTTTGTAGCTTGAGGCTTTTATGGAATATATCAGAATATCTCAATGAGCATATGAATCAGAATCTGAATATGAACGTGAATGTGTGAATGTGTCAATATGATGGCTTTTATACCTCATCATACATGGAGAGGTTGGGCCTTAGCCCAATTGGCTTGCTTTGTGGGCTGACCTTTGACTTTTGCACAATTGGAGAGTTGAACCTTGACCTTGGGCTTTTAATTGGATCATTTAGTGCTTAGGCCTAATTTGGACTAAATTGGACCCAAACACTTAGTATACAGAGGACTAGTGCTCTATTATATTATCTTCTATTACTCTACTAGTATGTTGGAAAAAAAAAACTCAACACATTTTCAACACAATAAAAAACCAAAGTAGTTTAAAGGGCAAAATTTGTACATTTTACCAACCAAATAGTTTACTGTAGAGTACTTTCCAAAAATTAACTAGCATGGGACCTTCTCACCCAAAAATAATTGATTAAAGGATAATTTACCCTAAAAAAAATTAAAAAGATAACTTTGAAATTTTAAATTTTATTTGAGTGGTCGGCAATGTGGGCTATTATTTAGGGCTAGGTGAATCACATATATAAATACATTTTCTGCCTGCTGTATTTGAATAAATCTAAAGATTAAACCCTGACATTTTCATTTTGAGAGAATAGTTTGAAAATGGGAATATCGCTGAAACTGCTGGTGAACAAAGAATCAAAGAAAGTGGTTTATGCTGAAGCAGGCAAGGAGTTTGTGGATTTTTTTTACTGGGGTTAATGGATCTTCCACTTGGTTCAATCCTTAGGATTCTGAGTAGTAATGACCAAACTGAGTCCTTATCACTTGGCAAAATTTATGAGAGTGCTAAGTCTATTGAGGTTTCCTATCTCCAGAAACACGAAGTCCGTGAATCTATTCTTAACCCTAAGCATACCACCAATTCTATGGTTAAGCAGACTGCTGTGCTTCGTGACTTGGTACCTGTGTGAGTCTTCCTTATTTTTGTATTTTATTATTCTGTGATCATGTCAATGTTAATGGAACTTGTGATCAAACACGAGGCATGTTTATCATGATGATGATCTTATAGATTAAGAATTGTGAACAATTAGAATTCAGTATATACTTAGCTTGGTGGTTCAAATATTAAAATTTTGCAAACATATAGTTCAATTTATATATTAGCAAAGAAAATGAGCATGTATAGCAATTAGCAATGTGATGATAGATGTTTACGAATTGGAATCTTTGAATTGTAAGTATGTTCATGGTCATTGAACTATTGTTCATCCGGTCCATGATATGATAATTTGCATTTTAACAAATATTATGACATGCCCTGGTGCTCATGTGGGAGTTGTGAATAGAAAATTTTTAGAGGTGCACCAAGAGATGGGTGCATCCGAGTCTAGATGCTCTAGTTTAAATGTAATTATGTATGTATGTAGTCTTGCCCTTACCAGTGTAAACCTGTATGTTTTAGCCGAATATTATATTGTACTCTTTAAAACCTCTCAAACTAACAGAGTTATTCCCCCCTTTCCCTCTCATTTCTTCCTAATTTTGCATCCAAAAAATCTGTTAATGTTTCCTAATCTTTATCTAAATTTTTAAAGAGATTTGGCTCCAATCATAAGTTTTGCGTTTATACTCTGCAGTAGTAGAAGCAACAACTACTCATACTCCTCTTCACAACAAACTAATGAAGTAGATGGGTATGTTAAAGACGCGGTTGCCTACATGGTGATGGATGATCTGACAATAACACCTTCCTCCACCATCTCTAGCATTAATCTCTTTAACACTCATGGTATCAAAGACATGGCCACTCTTCAAGAGATGATTGTCCAGGTCGATGCTGATAAGGTGTGCTCTTTTCTTCCTTCTAAATAAAATTCTCCCAATGTTGTCTAGTTCATACATTTGAATCCACGATTTTCCTAGCTTCGGTCATCTAGTTCTTAAATTAAATTATATATATGCCTAACACTCACAAGTGCAACATATGTTTGGTAGGCCTTAAACCTAGTAAGAGCTGCATTCGGGTCTAGCACGGTGCTTACTGATATATTCATTGGCAAGGCTCCCAGTGTTAAACCTACCAAGAGGTCCAAGACTTGATCAAGAGATAATTCTATCATCTACGTCTTGCATTGTATATGCAGCTATGTCTCATGCATCTGGTGAATAAACTAGATTTTTCGTGTTGAAAATAAATAATCTTAGAATTTGTTGCCAAGTAGGTTAAACTAATGAGCATTCATGTATGACATTCTGATGCTTAGAATGAACCTTTCTGCTAGTCTAAGCAGCAACTGTCATGGTTTTTGTTGAATATTTTGCTGTCAATGTTACTGTCTTACCCTGTTAGCCACCTATACCTGTATCGGTACGCAAGTGCACACGTAACAAACGCAAGGGCTCAAACAGGTTTTGGTATTAACTATCCACCTAAAATTTTATTACAACCTTGATTCTTTAGTCAATTATTTCTGTAGCTAATCCTCTCCATATGTCTGTCTATTAAATCATTGTTAATCTCAAATTCTCAATGGCCTTGTAGTTCTCACTAATGACCCGAGTTGATAGGCTATGATATTTTCACCACAATCAAGCAAGGCCCAAAGAAGCCCAAGCCCATATGCAATAATGGCTAGTGAGGTACCCAATTACTCATCGTTTATGGCTGATGTATTTTACAGTTGTGAGCTGTGACTTGTGACTGTTGGGAGTATAAAATAGATAATGGTTTCGTGAATCGTGAGAGTGGAGGGCCCAATTACGCGACAATATCGGATTTATTGGAAGGACGAATCTTGAATTGCGTACTCTAGGACGTACTGCTTAAGTATGAAAAGGTGGACATTCAAGAAATTGAATTTTGAAATTTGTTCAGACATTGGCAAATTAACTTGCTAACCGTATACTTGTGCAAACTGATATGGTGAGCTTGATCTCAAATTGTAGTGATAACTTTAGGTGTTTAATAAAAATTGGTGACCTTAGTAACATATTAAAATGATCGATTTTGTTATTCATAGCCCTAAGGGCTATGCATAAAAACTAGCAAATTCCTCCAATTAATGGTATATATCTTATTCCAATGGAATCTATGACAAATTTAATATTAATAATTAGACCATCATTCAATTCTCATTAAATTGTATTTATTAAAATATTATTTCCTACCCACTTATTAGTTATACACATTATTTTAGGAAATAAAATACGTTCATTGTACTGCAATTCTGTAAATCATCTTAAAAGCATTTTATTTTTTTTATAAAGGGAAAAAAAAAAGAGCACACGATTATTTTTACGACTTTGATTTCACTGGAATTGGTCTAAGTATGGCAGTCATAATATTACAAATTCGTCCTTGAACAATTTCTTGTACAGCAATATCAATCTAAAATTTTCAAAAGTAAAAAGATTAACTACATGATTTAAGAAATTTTACAATTAAAATAGTAAAATATATTTCAAGAAGTTAGTAGACAATATCAGCAAGTCAATTAGGATTTGTATCCTTCTTTTTTACTCCAAATACGTAAGAGTGGGTTATAATGTTAGGGTAGAATCACAAGTATTAAAACAACTAGCATGATCGTAATTTACTTCATTTTAAAAAAAAAAAAAAAAAACAATTCATCAAACCAGTATACATTACTTCATTAACAAGAAAAAAAGAAAAAAAAAGACAATTTATCAAACAGGTTGTGGGCAATAAGTTTATCACAATGCAAAATATTTTCACAATACTGATGGTGATGAATTGATGATCAATTACTCATTAAAACAAAATATTCATCTCATAAAAGACAAAAAGACATACCTTTTAGAATAAAAAATAATTCATAAGACTCTTGCTAACTTTTTTTTTTCCCACTACTATAGATAGAAAAGATGTAAAATGACGAAGAGGAAATGTTGTAAGATGATTTGATGGAGACTTCAGTTTTTTTTTTTTTTCCTCATATATTTTTATGGTATAAGTAAGATGAAAAATCTAATTCTAATTTAGGCGTCAAGCATTAGTTTCATGGGGAATTAACATATTTGTGTGCATATGTGCTATTTATTGACTTGTTGTTTTTTTTATTATTCCCCATAAATATTAAACATGTACACTATTATTTTTATTGAAAATATAAGAGAATCTAGACATGTATTAATGGTTATACATAGCACTTAGGGCTATGTTTAACATTTGCCTAAAACAATATGGCCTTGTTGGGATAAAAATTAGGAATTACATGATACAGAGTATTCCTTTTTTTTTTTTTTTTTTTTTTTAAATGCATTAGCTTGATCAACATATTTGTCAATTTGTAATTTCAACCATTAATTTTTTAATTGTTTATTAGTACTCCCTCCGTCCCCGAAGAAACGACCCTTTTGGGTTGATTTCGCGGGTATTAATAAAGTTAAATAAAAAAAGTAAAAGTATATTGAAAAGATAAATTTATATGGGGTTTAAAAAAAAGTAAAAAGACAGTAATAAAAGTATATGGAAAAACAAAATTATATGTAGGGAAGCTAATTTTGCACAAATATTGTTGCAAATTGGTGGGTATATTAATGCAAATGAGTCATTATTTTTTGGACTAAAATTTGACCTAATAGGTCGTTTTTTCGGGGACGAGGGGGGAGTATTAAAAACGAGGAGAATAGATACCAACGCACTATGCTCAAGCCAAATCAATTGTGTGACAGTACTGACACAGTGGTACTGTAGATATAAGTGATAGTTGTATGAAGTAGCTTTCAATTTTCAAGCCAGAGGAAGTCCCATTGACAGAAAAATAATTAAACAATAAAGCCTCTTGTTATTTTGCCACTAAAACAGTACCAAAGAAACAGAAAAATGGGAGTGAAATTGAAGTTGCTGGTAAACAGTGAAACAAAGAAGGTGGTATTTGCAGAAGCAGGGAAGGAATTTGTTGATTTCTTGATGGGTTTAATGGAGATTCCACTTGGTTCAATCCTCCGTCTTTGGAAACAAAATTCCGAAAATAGAGATGGAAATTCTACTTTATCATTGGAAAAACTTTATGAAAGTATCTACTTATTTGATGAATCCTACCTTCAGAAATCTGATCTCAGGAATTCTGTCTTGGACCCTAAATTTTCATCTGTTACTAAAACAAGCAGGCTCCTGTCCTTCAACAGTTACTTCAACTGTCAATCCTCTTTCTAGCCCTCTAATTTTTTTGTATTACTAAATTATACTATGTTCGTATGTTACATTTTACTACTTTGTTCGGAATTAATTGTCGCATTGTTTCAATTCTTGATATTTACGACATTTTAATTTGTCTCCTGTTATGTTCCCCTTACTTTTTATTCTACATATTACTATCCTACTTGATATGCACGAGTCCAAGTGATTGTCGTATACACTCTTCACTTGTAATTGTTGTTGTAATATGGTTATTATTTAACTGCTGAAATCGAAAACTTATACGAGTAGTTTAATTTTCAAGTACGAGTAATGTCAGTTTATTTTGCTTCCCCTGATCCTTGATTGTCACCGCCTTTTCATTGTAGTTTTGCTTTGCCTTTTTGCTTGCTTCAAAATTACTCAATTCTTGAAATTGTTCTCTTTAAGCTTCGGTTTCTTGTTTGCTTATTTTGTATAATTGTTTCATACCATACATGTAGTGTTACACACACACACAGCCACATAGGGTATCATACGAGTAGAGCTCGTATTCCCAATTGTTCAATAAGCTATTACATGTGCACGCCGTTGTATAAGCTTTTGAAATTTGAATGCTCTATTTTTCTTGAGATACTTTGTTCAATTAAAGTGAGCTCAAATCCTCTATTTTGTGATTTTGTACTCAGCAAAAGTAGTTACTCTTACTCCCAATCTAGCCGGGATGAGATAGATGGGTATGTTAAGGGTGCTGCTTACTACATGGTGAAGGATGATCTCTCGATAACACCTTCCTCAACCATCTCCAGCATAAATCTCTTCAACATACATGGCGTCAAAGATATCAGCTTCCTCCTTGAGAAGACTGTCGAGGTCGATGGCACAAAGGTCTTTCTCTTGCCCTTCTTAATCAACCTTAAGTTTAATACTCCGTAACATTTATGCTAGAAAATGTGATAGTTACCTTCTATAAATTCATGTAAGTTTAATTCTGGACTTCTGAATTAATTTTGAGTGTTTGTCAGGCTTTAGAGCTGGTGAGAACAGCATTTTATTCCAATACGGTCCTCACAGACGTTTTCATGAGCAACGATCAAAGCATGGCTTCTACCAGTAAAAATGAGGGTGAGACCAATTAATTTTATTTATCCAACTGATCCTGTAACATATGCTATCTGAAGTACTTTCATTAAAAATTCTGGGTTTGAATCCTTTAAAATTAACATCGTTGTTTTATGTGTATATTATTGTAAACATACTCTCGTTTTTATCCATCTTCATGCTATATAGATTTGGGTATTTGAAAATAGGGGATTCGAGCAGAAGATCACTTCACTCTCCCCTTTAAAGTTAAACTAACTAAACCGGTTTACAAGAATAATTTAAACTATTGATGTAATTACATAAACAAATATAAATTATCATCTACTAAATATGAAACAGAGGGAGTACTAAATATGAATTTTTTATTTGAAAAGAATTAATGAAACATAGCAATGACTAAAATACATCATTGGGCATAATCATTCGAAAAGAATATGAATAATCAATAAAATCATCTTCCAAATGTGAATACTAATTAATGTTTCAACTAGGCCTACCACCAGTTGGACCAACCACACAATCAGGCAAAGGATGGTTATACCTGTTCTTATCATGGCAATAAGAGTATGCAAGATGTTGCTTCCTAAACTCCTCATATTCCCTTAAGTTTTGAAGTGTTATTTTCCCGCAAACATTCACATCATCACAGTTAGAAGGCTTCTGATTCGGGTCGGATGCACACCCACGGATTAAAAGGTCCGAGAACCTAGCCACAAACGGGTCAAATTCATGGTTGATCTTAAACCGGCCTCCATTCGTAGCCCAACCCGATCCATCCCATATAGTAGCAATCAATGACATGGGCTTAGACGGGTAATCCCCACCCAAACCATTCACCTTGTAATTCTCTCTAATTGGGACATCATCCACATAAAAAATAACCCGGTTTTCGCCCCAAAAAATACTATACTTATGAGCCATTTCACTCGGATCAAACCATAACGTGTACCTCTCTTCCCTTCCTCTGCTTGTGCTACCATTACCATAAATATTAGTCTGCAAGACCCAATCTTGACCGTTAGCATGACCCAAGAACTCGAAATCAATTTCGTCGTGATGACCCTCAAATTTATCATTGTTGGACAAGTAGAATGCCACAACAACACCAGCAGTGTAGTTGGGTGATGGCAGCTTGATAGAAGCACTAAATAACCCGCTTTCGTAAACGTTTTGAGAGATAAACCCGGACCCTCCGGTGTTATTAACAATGGATAAATAAACGGTGTTTCCATCATCTTCAATGACTATGTTTTCTCCATAGAGCTTCTTTAACCCTTCATCGAAACTCGTTGTTGTAAAGTTTTGGACACAACCATAGCAGTACGAAATTAGCGTGCAGATCAACAAGAAATTCAACATGAATTGATGCATTTTTCTCTAATTTGTTGTTGTTGTAGCCTTTGATTGAGAGGTCGGTCTAGGTGACCTGTAAATTTGAAAAACAATGTTAAATGAATCAAAAATGTATGTAAATGTACATCTATGAAATTTACAATGAATATACTGAGATTATTTTTTGTATTGTTAATATCAAAATATATGTTACATTTACTTTTTGACGGGGAGATATATGTTACTTGAATGCTTCTTCAATATTCATAATCTTAAATATTACAGTAATAAAAAGCAATTAATGTATGTTATTACAATGCTAGTACAATTGGCACGAGTGGAATTAGTGTCTAATTGCACACAAGAATGTATTTCAATTAGTATATAGACAGACAAGGATACTAGAATTAATTTTAGTCTAGCGCATGGGTGAGACCAGGGTACAATCGAGCTTGAACCGGTATAGGGGTGGCCGGGTGGGTGGTACGTTAGCCAAAATCTGTGCGGGAGTTGAGTAATTTTTTCAGTTTTGCCGGTTTGAATTGGGCATCTAAAAGTGATTCCGCTCATTAACTCAACTAGTAGAATCACATACAATATATTACCCAATAGAATTGACAAAACACTAGAATTGGCGCGAAATTACAAACTTTGACAACATTATATAACTATAACTATAACACACTCTGTGCTTTAGAAAATATCAAATATTATGTCATTATGTGCATTGGTGCATGTAATGATTTATTCATGAAAATGGATGTATAATTTGAATAGATTGAAGCATTATCATTAATATAAAGCACAATGAAATTAAAGTATAATAAACACCTTTCATAACTCCACTTACGTACAAATGCGCATTTATAATTACGAGTATGATTCATTATAAAGTAAAATAATACTCCAAGATAAAGTAGAATACTAGTATGAAATTTACCTAGAAATGAATTGGGTGTTTGATCAAATCAATCTGTCTTCTTAGTTACTTGCACTGCTCTATGGTGCTCCGGCTATTAGACAAGGAGTTTAGAGATAGATTGAGTGTGGAAAGAAAAAATTTAAAAAGAATTTAAAGAATAATTAAGATTATATTTGTATACTAATATAGCTAAATACAGAATTTATATAGGCAAATGAGTCATCAATTATGCAACCAAGGAATTAGGACAATTGATATTTTTTCTTTTATTGACTAAGGTAAACATGATTCTAACAGCCAATATATTATAATTATAAAATGATTTTTATTGATACTCTATCTTTATTTCCATATATATATGTATGTAACAATAATTGTATAGATAGAGCTTATAATGGACCAATACAAAAATATAATGAAAAGATTTTTCAAATTTACACCTAAGTTCCTCCATTGCTACAGCGTTGAGCTAGTTGGAATACACGAGAGAATCTCCAGTTTCCTTCTTCATAATATTTGCACACCTAAAAAAAATTCTAGAGAATATACTTTAATCCATCCAACCTTAGGATTAATAATTAAGGATTGAATGAGATTGATGCTACCATGAATAATGACTAAGCTAAGGAAAATCTTCAAAAAAAAAAAAAAAAAAGTCTTTCACAAGATCAAGTAAATGAAATAGAGTTTTGGGTTGTAAAATTCGATTTGGTAATTGAACATTATGGAGTAAATTTGTACAAGTATATAAAGGAAATTTTGACTTTTGCTACCTCAGAAACACATGAAATTTTTTTGGCTACCTGGGAAAAGTTTTATTTTATTTTACTACCTATCAAATCCCGTTTTTTTAAATTTTGCTACCTGATCACGGAATCCGTTAATAATTTCGTTATTGAGATCCTGCCACCCTCATTACCACCTTCCGACCACCCCTCCCACCTTAGCCACCCTAAATGCCTCCCCGTCATCCAACAAAAAAAAAATTAAATTAAATTAAAAAAAGAACACCCAGTCTTCTCTTTCTCTCTCATCTCCTCCCTCCTCCTTCTCTTTCATAACCACCTCCTCCTCCCTCCTCCGTTCTCTTTCTCTCTCATCACCGCCTCTCTCATCTTTCTCTCTAATCTCCGCCTCCCTCCTCCTGTCCTCCCTTCTCATTCTCTCTCCTCAGTTTTCGAAGTCCGGCGCCACCCACCATGGGCGGATCTAGGGGGTTCATTGAACCCCCAGATTTTTTGAAAAAAAATTATAAGTTTTGATTTTTTTTTTAAAAAAAAAGAAAAAAAAATAAGGTTAAAACAAATTTTTGTGAAGTAAATAAACAAATATGTATCTCTGGCACATTGGTAAGGGAGTGACTAATAGTGTAGTGAGGCTCCTCTTGATCATGGATTCGAGACCAACCACCCTCATTTTTTAATTTTTTTTCCCCCTTTCGATATCTTCCGTTGTTCTTCATGAGTTAGTCCATAGTTGGGTCAATAATTTTAGGAGTAGTATGTTGGTCATTTTGTTAAGTTAGAGAGTCAAATGAATTTAGAAGTTAATGAGTTTATTTATTTAGTGCGTTAAACATGGCATTATACTTTCAGTTTTTTAGCTTATTATTTGTTGTTTGTTAGCCTACATATATGGCTCTTGTATTTGGTGAATTAAGCATGAAGAAATATTATGAGTTCTTTATTTTACTTGCTTCATACTTATCTAATATTATTATTGTTTTTATCCTTTAGTACGTATTAGTTTCAACAGTCCTCTTATTCCTCTACTCCTCTTAATTCTTAAATCATTATTTGTTTGTAAATTAGTGATAATTAGATTAATTATTGATTTGTTTAATTAGTTTTGATATATTGTTGACGTACAAATTGAATTTAGAAACTTAGAATTTAAAATTTTTACTTGGTCTTTTAATTGATAATTAGAAAAAAAATTTCATTATCAAATTTGTGTTTATTGGGGACTTGGGATTTTTGTTTTTCGTGTAATATTGATTTTTTGCAATATAATTATAGATTTATCATTTATAGAAGTAGTAATATTTTAGCACGCTTTAAAAGTATAAAACTTGGAGAATGCTTTTGTAGGTTTTTTTTCATTTATTATTTTGTAACTGTTTAATCCATCCATTTATAATAAAAAATTTGAACTTATATATTGAATATTTCATTAATATATGAGCATCGTTTGTTTTTTAAGATTCCTGTTGGTCATTTTGTTAAGTTAGAGAGTCAAATGAATTTAGAAATTAATGAGTTTATTTAGTGGGTTAAACATGGCATTATACTTTCAGTTTTTTAGCTTATTATTTGTTGTTTGTTAGCCTACATATATGGCTCTTGTATTTGGTGAATTAAGCATGAAGAAATATTATGAGTTCTTTATTTTACTTGCTTCATACTTATCGAATATTATTATTGTTTTTATCCTTTAGTACGTATTAGTTTCAATAGTCCTCTTATTCCTCTACTCCTCTTAATTCTTAAATCATTATTTGTTTGTAAATTAGTGATAATTAGATTGATTATTGATTTGTTTAATTAGTTTTGATATATTGTTGATGTACAAATTGAATTTAGAAACTTATAATTTAAAATTTTTACTTGGTCTTTTAATTGATAATTAGAAAAAAAATTCATTATCAAATTTGTGTTTATTGGGGACTTGGGATTTTTGTTTTTCGTGTAATATTGATTTTTTTGCAATATAATTATAGATATATCATTTATAGAAGTAGTAATGTTTTAGCACGCTTTAAAAGTATAAAACTCGAAGAATGCTTTTGTAGGTTTTTTTTTCATTTATTATTTTACAACTGTTTAATCCATCTATTTGTAATAAAAAATTTGAACTTATATATTGAATATTTAATTAATATATGAGCATCGTTTGTTTTTTAAGATTCCGAACCCACAGTTCGGAATTCCTGGATACGCCACTGCCACCCACCCCCACGGTTTTAGATTGGATTCGACCAATTAATGGTTTTTTAGGTCGAATTCGACCATGAAAACTCCAGATCTAGGGTTTTCATGGTCGAATTTAACCATATAAACCAAAAGTTGAAGATCATAAGGTATGTTTACCCTTTTCCATCAATTTATTATAATTTTTTAAAAAAAAATTTGGGTAGTGGTGGGTTGGTGGTGGGTGTGGCTGTGCGTGTGTGATGGTGCTGGTGGTGGTGCGCGTGGTGCTGAAGGTGGTGCGTGTGGTGGGTGTGGCTGTGTGTGTGGGGGGTAGTGGTGCTGGTGGTGCGTGTGGTGGAAAGGGGGTAGGTGACAATTTTTTCTGAGGTTGAATAAGAACCGAGCTCGAAACCGGAGTGGCGATTGTGGGTTCGCCAGAGAAACGCCGAGAGGACAAAGGAGAGAGATTGGTGTGTGGCGATTGTGGTTTCGGTGTGGTGGGGTTGGGGTCGGGGCAACAAGAAGGGGAAAGGGAGGGCGCTGGGTTGCGTTGGTGGGGAAAGGGTGTGAAAGAGGGTTGCCGGCGCCGGCCGCAGCTTTGGGTGCTGGTCGCCGACAGGGGGAGGGTGGCTGAGTGGCTGACGGGAGGGCTGGGCTGGGCATTTGCGTTTTTTTTTTTTAAAAATTTAATATTAATTTTATTATTATTTATTTTTAAAATAAACTTAACGGAACCCAAACGGATTCCGTTAACCGGTAGCAAAAGTTAAAAAAAGAGCATATGTTAGGTAGTAAAATAAAATAAAAGTTTTCATAGGTAGCAAAAATAAAATTGATGTGTTTGATAGGTAGCAAAAGTCAAAATTTCCGTGTATAAAAGCCATTTGTGAACATTGGGCCTTTCCCTTTCCATTTAGTACTGTAATATACTCCGTATGGAGTTATACTAAGGGTCTGTTCTCATACGTTGAAATTCAGTTCAGTTCAGTTTAGCTCAATTCAGTTCAGTTCAGTTCAGCTCCTAATTTTATTCTCTTATAAAATAAACAGTTCACTTCAGTTCAGCTCAGCTCAGCTCAGTTTAATTCAGTTCAGATCAGTTCAGTCAATGAGAATAGGCCCTAATATGAAATATTTTTCCATTCATTTTTTTTTTGTTTTTTTTTTTGGTGCAATAGAGGGGCAAGCCCCTAAGGCCCTAAACAAAGAACAAAACACAATGAAAATAAAGAAGCAAGAAAACTAAAACTAAAACTAAGCTACTGGCCATAGGTTAAGAAACCCAAGGCTTTATTCTATTTTCCGCCACCATCCGAGGCAAGGACAAGCCATCAAGTATTCAAGTCCTCCAATAAAAGGCTATTCTATTCTCCACCACCATCCGAGGTAAAGCCAAGCCATCAAATCCTCCAATAAAACGGTCTTAAGATCCCTTGGGACTGCTTTAAAGAGAACAAGTTTTGGATCCGAAGTAACACCATAGTTGGCAAGCAATGGCTAGTAACACCATATTTTTCCGTTCATGGGTACAAGTAACTTTTACTAATGTTTAAACATCAATAAACTATGGATCCTTAATGTTGTATCATATACTGTATAACATTGTTAGATACAGAATCTTATTATTAAGAAGAAGAAAAAAAAAGAGTAGGATGAACAAGGAGCATCCAAATCTCCAATTTTCACCTCTAAACTATAAACAAACAAACAAAAAAAAAAAAAAAAAAAAAAAAAACCACTAAAAAATTAATATCTTGTGCATGAGCATGTGTAAAATTAAGGGCATGTTCTTTTCAGATTATTTTCAGTTCAGTTCAGCTACAATAAGTTAAGTTCTTAATTTTCTTCTCTCATAAAATATTTAGTTCAGTTCAGCTCCAATAATTTTAGTTCAGCTTAGTGCAGTCAATCAAATCAGGCCCTTAGTACTACAAACTACAGCGTGTATAAGAAAAAACATGAGAAATCATTTTAAATCCTATTTTTACAAAGGAAACTTATACCTTGTATAAATTTTTGGTCCATTCTAGACTTTAAATATCTGCTGTAGAATTTTTTATGCATTACTCCCTCCGTTTTTAAATACTTGCTTCATTTCTCTATGCGCGGAGTTTTAGGAGAAATTGGAGAAAATAATAAAATATGGAGATAGTGAGGTTGGTGGAAGAATTAAAAAATGTAGAAGGTAAAAATAGTGGAGAGAATTGGAAGAGAGAGAATACATGTTGGGTCCACTAGGTGGGAGAAATTAATTAAATATTGTAAGAGCTTTCCAAAAAAAGAAATTGAGCAAGTATTAAAAATCGGCCGCAAATGAAAAGTGGAGCAAATATTTAAAAACGGAGGGAGTATTAAGCTACTGAATAAGTTTGTATTTTTTCTTTTCGAGTCTGTTAGGTCGTAGAATGTTGTAGAACAGGATACAGGAAACAATCATCATAATGAACTAGGCATCGATGGAAAATTAGGATAAAGAAGCTTTCAGAAGATTGTAGAAAATAGAGCTGCATTATCACTATCTGGGTCCCTCAATTGATTTAACAAAAACATCTTAGTATTAAACTATTGGAGGAAATGCCCAGAAACTCCGAGATATCTCATTACATCATGTATAAATATATATGCAATGCACTTTCAGTTCTATCATCAACATAGAAAACACACTTAAGTTCAATCCCAATCTCAATTCAATAAACTCTTAATCACCTGTGCACAGCTCAAACAATCTTCCAAAAATGTCGCTTATTCCAAGCTTCTTTGGTAACCGAAAAACCAATGTCTTTGATCCATTTTCCCTAGACACTTGGGATCCATTTGATGGCATTCTCACTTCAGCCCTAGCCAATGTACCCAGCTCAGCTCGTGAAACGTCTCAATTCGCAAGCACAAGGGTTGATTGGAAGGAAACACCAGAGGCACATGTTTTCAAAGTTGATCTTCCTGGGCTGAAGAAGGAAGAAGTGAAGGTCGAGGTCGAAGAAGGCAGGATCCTGCAGATAAGTGGAGAAAGAAGCAAGGAGCAAGAAGAGAAGAACGACAAGTGGCACAGTGTTGAGAGGAGCAGTGGAAAGTTCCTTCGCCGCTTCAGGCTACCTGAAAACACAAAGATGGATGAAGTTAAGGCTAACTTGGAAAATGGAGTGCTTACTGTGACTATTCCAAAGGTTGAAGAGAAGAAACCTGAGGTCAAGAGCATCGACATCTCTTCTGCTTAAAAAGGTCCCAATATCTGTCAGGAGTGTGCTCAATGTTAATTCCCGTCATTTCGATTGAATAAGTTTGTTGTGTCTAGGTAATTTGCTTGTTTGGAAGTGAATCCCTGTGATGGAATGAGTACTTGTAACTGATGTAAGATGGTGTTTTTGTGCAATTAAATTCTGTGTTTATTAATTGCAGTTGTATACTTGCATTCTTGCAAACCATTATAATTTGGAAGCATTAATTTGGAAGCATATTAGGATATACTACTCGCAACAAATAGCCATAGATCCAAGGCGATAGGCCAAGCACATTTCCTTTGAGAATCTTAGAACAAAACTTCGTAAGTAGAACAGTCCAGATACATGAATAGATTCGATAATCATAATAGAGTATCACAAAAAATGAATACGGATAATGTCACATGGAAAACACAAAGGGATGTAGTTAGGGCAGATAGCAGTTGCTCCAGTACTCCACAAACTCAGAATACATAGAAGAAAAATACAGGTGATTCAGTATGAAGTGTAGCTACAGAATTCGATCTATGACATATATCTAAACATTTATGAAAATGCAATACATGCAATATTGTCATGGACATAATACGTTGAATAACTATTCTGAAAGAGGAGTAAATTGAAAAGGCATCCTGCAAATTCACATCTGAGCTCATAATGAATTTAGCCGAAAGAACCATAAGAGGCACTAGTTAAGAATACAGAAATACCGGGATATCTAGAATAGACAAAAAGATGATCCGAAAAGACGGCTTACTAAATAAATGTAGAATTTGGGTGTCATACATATATGAGTAGACCTGTCAATTCGGATAAACGGGTCGGGTTTGGGTCGGGTCAACTCGGATCAGGTTAATTAGGATTAATTCCATAACCTATGCGGGTCGGGTTTATGTTGGGCCATGCTTGAGACGGGTCACATCGGGTCATACTTCTTATCGGCTTTAGGTCAAGTTTAGGTCAGGTTAATAACAGGTCGGGTTTAATTCAGGTTTTCACGGGGGGTTAAAACGGGTTAGGGTAATTCTTGGGTTCGAGTTGGGTTCGGTTCAAGTCAATAATTTGCGGGTTAGAATCAAGTCAGGTCATTCCCGGGTTTGAGTTGGGTTCGGTTCAAGTCAATAATTTGCAGATTGTAATCAGGTCGGGTCATTTTCAAGTTCGGTCATTCTCGGGTTCGGTTCAAGTCAATAATTTGCGGGTTATAATCAGGTTGGGTTTTTTCCAAGTCGGGTAATTCTCGGATTCAAGTCGGGTTATGTTCAAGTCAATAATTTGCAGGTTACAATCAGGTGTGGTCATTTCCAAGTCACGTCATATTCAGGTTCAACTAACTATAAATAGATAATTATCATTTTTATCAAGCTAATTATTTCCTTTGACTATAATCTATATAACAATATACTAGGGAACTATAGTCTATAATTTAAGAACATAATTATCTCCTTTGACCATACAACAAATATATCCTATATTTAACTTTTAAATTTGAGGTTTGAGGATGATGCTCCTTTCTTTTGCTAGCCTGGACCAACTTGGTCTCCCTAAATAAAATGATTTGATCAACAATAATAAGGTGGTCTAAATTGCATTTAAAGTGATTTTAAATCGGGTCAAGAACAATTTGGGTTGAATTTAGGTCCGGTCAATAGCAAGTCGTGTTAATTTCGAGTCAGGTTAGTAACAGATCGGGTTGAATTTTTGGGTCGGGTAAGTAATACGTCTGGTAAAATTCGTGTCGGGTCAATAACAAGTCAGGTTGAATTTTGGACAGGTTAATAGCAAGTCGGGTTGATTTCGGGTCGGGTTTGTAACAAGTTGGGTTAAATTCGGGTCGGTTAGGAACGGGATAGGTTGAATTCATGTCAGGTTAGTAACAAATCGGATTAAATTCGTGTTTTGACGGATTAAAACAGGTTAGGTTCAATTTCGGTTCAAGTCGGGTTCGGTGCAAGTTAATTAAATTGGCAGTTGCAAACCGGTAAATCGGTGCAAGTTGTAAACCGATAAATTGGTTGGTTAACAGCAGATTAGATGGTTTCACAAACCCAATTGGACTCCCATAGGATATTAAGGACCATGGTAAACATTTCAGCAATTTTTATTTCCGAGCAAAAAAAAAAACAAAAAATTCCAAAATTGAAGGTTAATATCCACTTTTTTTGTGAAATTATGGAGGTTTCGAGGCTCGGTGTCGAAAAATCATGAAACTCTATGAGATACATCTAGGGGTCATATAATGCCGTTTGGAACCATCTATGATCATTATTTGTTGTCATAAATGTTCGTAGTAGGCTTGAATTAATGAAATCGGTGCAAGTTATAAACCGGTAAATTGGTCGTTTAATAGCAAATTGGATGGTTCCATACACCCAATTGGACTCCGGGAATGTATTAGGGACCATGGTTAACATTTCAGCAATTTTTATTTACGTGCGAAAAAAAGTAAAAAAATTCCAAAATTAAATGCTAACAACCACGTTTTTTGAAAAATTTTGGAGGTTACGGGATAGTGTAGAAAAGTCTTGATATTTTAAGGCATACATCTCGGGGTCATATAATTCCATTTAGAACCATATATGATCATTAAATGTTGTCATAAATGTTCGTAATATGCTTGAATTAATGAAATCCGTGCAAGTAGTAAATCGTTAAATTGGTCGTTTAAAGGCAAATTGGATGGTTCCACCAACCCAACTGGACACCCCCGGATGGTATTAGGAATCATAGTAAACATTTCATCAATTTTTATTTCCGGGGAAAAAAAGTAAAAAAAATTCCAAAATTAAAGAGTAATATCCACGCTTTTAGAGAGATTTTAGAGGTTTCAGTGTAAGGAATACATCCCGAGGTCATATATTGCCATTAGGAACCATATATGATCATCATTTTAATCATAAATGTTTGTGGTAGGCTTGAGTTAATAAAATCGGTGCAAGTTGTATACCGGTAAATTGGCCGTTTAAATGCAAATTAGATGGTTCTACCCACCAATTGGACTCCCGAAGGATATTAGAGACCATGGTAAACATTTCGTCAATTTTTATTTTCGGGCGAAAAAAGTCAAAAAATTCCAAAACTAAAATCTAATATCCATGCTTTTTGAGAAATTTTGGAGGTTTTGGGGCCCGTTGACTTAAAGACTCGACATATAATGCCATTTGGAACCACATATAATCATTATATGTTGTCATAAATGTTCGTGGTAGGCTTGAATTAATGAAATCGATGAAGTTGTAAATCGGTAAATTGTCCGTTTAAAAGCAAATAAGATGGTTCCACCCACCCAATTGGACTCCCGGAGGGTATTAGGAACCATGGTAAACATTTCAGCAATTTTAATTTCCAAGCAAAAAAAAAGTTAAAAAATTCCAAAATTAAAAGTTTCGGGGCCTGTTGTCGAAAAGTCTTAAAATTCTATAGGATACATCTCGGGGTCATATAATGTCGTTTGGAACCATATATGATCAATATTTGTTGACATAAATGTTCGTGGTAGGCTTTAGTTGATGAAATCATTGCAAATTGTAAACCAGTAAATTGGCCGTTTACTAGTAAATTGGATGGTTCCACACACCAAATTGGACTCCCGGAATGTATAAGGGACCATGGTAAACATTTGGAAATTTTTTTTTTCCGGGCGAAAAAAAGTCAAAAAATTCTAAAATTGAAGTACTAATATCCACGCTTTTTGAGAAATTTTTTGAGGTTTCGAGGCCCGTTGACGAAAAGACTCGAGAATTTAGGGGAAACATCTCGGGGTCATAAAATGCCGTATGAAACCATATATAATCATTATATGTTGTCATAAATGTTCGTGGTAGGTTTTAGTTAATGAAATCAGTGCAAATTGTAAACTGGTATATTGGTCGTTTAAAGGAAAATTGAATGGTTACACCCACCCAATTGAACTCCCGGGGGATCTTAGGGACCAAGGTAAACATTTCGGCAATTTTTATTTCCGTGCAAAACAAAGTCAAAAAATTCAAAAATTGAAGTCTAATATCCACGCTTTTTGATAAATTTTAGAGGTTTCGGGGCTCGTTGACGAAAAGACTAGAGATTTTAGGGGATACATCTCAGGGTCATAAAATGCCGTTTGGAACTATATATAACCATTATATGTTGTCATAAGTGTTCGTAGAAGGCTTTAGTTAGTGAAATCAGTGCAAATTGTAAAATGGTATATTGGTCGTTTAAAGGAAAATTGGATGGTTCCACCCACCCAATTGGACTCATGAGGGGTCTTAGGGACCATCGTAAATATTTCGGCAAAGTCTAAAAATTCCAAAATTGAAGGCTAATATCCACCATTTTTCCACAAATTTCTAAGTTTCGGGGCCCGATGTTGAAAAGGCTTGAGATTTTAGGACAAACATCTCGGGATCATATAATGCCATTTGGAACCATATATGATCATTATTTGTTGTCATAAATGTTCGTGGTAGGCTTTAGTTGATGAAATCGGTGCAAATTGTAAACTGGTAAATTGGTCGTTTAAAGGAAAATTGTATGGTTCCATGATAACTTGTTATTTGGTATGATTTTAGGGTACTTTTGAACCTTGTTTTCGTGATTATTCGACATCAAAGTTCATTATTTATCCTATTTTTATACAAATTTTGTACCATCCATGTTTCACGGGTTATTTGTGTTTTTGATGTAATGTAGCTATTTTTAACACTACATATGGACGTGATCAAGCATGAGTGAACAAGGAGAAGGGAAAGCTTGGTTGATAGAGCAATAAAGGAAGAAGGATGAGTGCCTTAAAGAGAAATGAAAAGCTTTTGGAAAATTTTGGAAGGATTTTTGCACTAAGGTCAACTTTAACTGACCATAACTTTTGTTCCACTCAACATTTTGAAGTGATTCAAATTGGAGATTAAAGTTCATCTCAAGAGCTTTCCAACGACTGCTCACATGCCTTATTCCGATGAGTGACGAAGTTATGAACTTTCGAAAATAAGCAGTTTCTCCAGAAACTGCACGTCCGTGCAAGTCACTGCACGTACGTGCCAAATGAAGCATGTCCGTGCAAAGTCAGGCAGTCGTGCCGACTTGTAGACGGGTCGTTTCCTTGTGTTCTCCGTCCTTTTAC